TCTGGCACTGTTAGTGTGGGAAGGGTGGTGTGTGCTCTCCAGCCAGGAAATCGCACATGCTGGGATCTACCAGGAGTCTGGTCCACGCTGGAGGCTGACGGAGGGATGACAGCCCATCAGCTTGCACAGGGAGGGGAAGAGGTGAGAAAACAGGCACAGCTAGAGCATAGCATGACCTGCAGCCACCCTACTCCAGGTCTTTTAGGCAAAGGAAGGGAAGGGATGACAGAGGACACTTGGGGCCCCATCAGCTGGCATCCCAGGTGCTGCAGACCAGTTAGCATGATGTGCTGATTGCCTGCAGGACATCTCCACCTGCAGAGTCAAATGATGCCATGGATGACAGGTAGAGGCAGTGGTGGAAGATGACTGAGGAATGACAAAGTTAATAGTTGGATGTTGTGCAGGAGAGCGTGTTAAATGCTGCATCAGGAACATCTCCCAGCCTCTGGGCTGCTCTGGCTCCGTCCCTTTGCAACACTGGCCAGGGTTTCCTGGGACTTTCACCCTCTCCTGTCCATGTTTCTATCCCACACCAGCTGGGCAGGGCTGACATGCCTCAGTCCTCCCTCAACAGGCTCCCGAAACCTGTAGCAGGTGATAGGAGCTTGCTCTGGATAGCCATGCTTATAAAGCCATAGCACTGGCAGAGACATCCCAACCCCTTTTCCAGCCATCTGGCACCCAGAGAAGATGCCCAAGCCAACCTGCCTGGCTGAGCAGAAGCAATGCCTGGCAAAACACACCTGCAGCATGTGATACCCAAGAGCAGGGAGGTTGGGCACTGGTATGGGATCATGTAACCTGGTGGATCTCATTACCCTGGGACCTGCCAGCAGGTGAGTGGGAAACATTGTTTTTGGGGACACCCTGTGATGTCCTCAGCATGGACAGGGCCATGCATCCATGGCATGAGATCGTGTCTGCTTCACATGGTGCCTACTGAGGGCTGGAGTGAGTGATGCAACTGGTGTGGGAGGAGACAGGCAGTTATCCTAAGAGCAGTGACCTGCCTGCTGGTCAAGTTAGGGGCCATATGTGTGTGGTCATCTATCCCATGGCCAAACTGCAGGTCTTCTGGGAAGAGATATGGCCTGGAGACCTCTCCTACCCCAGCAAAGGGGAAAACATCTATCACACCCCAGGGCCTGGGGTCCTCTGGCTCCTCCACTCTAAAGTCCCTGCCTGGGGACTGGGCTGTCCTCACTGAGAATGGCCAGAGTGGAGGAGAGCTCCAGTTCCACCATGGTGGAGGACATGAAAGTGTGGGCAGTACAGAATTCAGAGCGATGGGACACCCCCAAACTGATCCATGCAGAGGGAGGCAGTGGACAGGGGACTTTCATTTACTTTAAAAGCACTCCACAAACAGGATCCACAGCATGGCTGTGTGGCCAGCAGGAGACCAGTTCACAGAATCACAGAATGTTGGGGATTGGAAGGGACCTCGAAAGATCATCCAGTCCAACCCCCCTGCCAGAGCAGGAACCTAAATGAGATCACACAGGAAGGTGTCCAGGCAGGTTTTGAATGTCTCCAGAGAAGGAGACTCCACACCCTCCCTGGGCAGCCTGTCCCAGGGCTCTGGCACCCTCACTGGAAAGAAGTTTCTTCTCAAGTTTAAGCGGAACCTCCTGTGTTCCAGCTCACACCCATTGCCCCTTGTCCTACCATTGGGCATCACTGAGAAGAGCCTGGCTCCATCCTCATGACATTCACCCTTTACATATTTATAAACATTAATGAGTCACCCCTCAGTCTCCTCTTCTCCAAGCTAAAGAGCCCCAGCTCCCTCAGCCTTTCCTCAGCAGCTTAAACCACCAGCACGGGCTGTGTGCTGGGAGCCCACAGCTGAGGGTCAGTGTGCAAGGGGCTGCACGGGGCTGTCCACCAGCAATTTGGCTGTGAGAGAGTAACTGGCTGCCCACAGCCCCATCCTGGCATCTCTGCTGATGTACATGGCAGGGCCAAAGCAGGACTATGTGAGTGTCCCTGCAGTGGGTGATGGGCAGCGTGGATGTTTGCAGAGAGCACAACCATCCAATACATGTCCTGGAGCTGCAGACATGAGTCATCCTTGGGACATTAGGCCACCACAATAAACCAAAGCACTGACTTACTCAGGAGTTGGAAATGGCCCCAATATCCTCTAATGGACACATGTCTGGTGGGAGGACAAGCTGCACAGCACCTGGGAGCTCTGGTTTTCTGAAGATCCAAACATCTCCCCCAGGGACTATCAGCAGGAGAGGGCTTGGGAAGGTTTGGCTCTGGCCATCAGCTTTAATAACAAGAAAATAGGATGATGGCAGCTTTTCCAGCTGCAGAGGAAGGGGTTGGGAAAGATCCCTCCCAGATGCAGGCAGACCCCAACCTAAAGCAACAGACACTCATGCTTCTGGGAGCACCGAACGTGAGTCCCACTGCCCAGAGATGAGGTGGCTCTGGTGAGGACGTGGGGATGGTGAGCGATCAGCTGGTCCTGAGCAGCAGGTGATTGGGGGCTGGTGCAGCAGTGCTGGTGTGAAGGGGCCCTGGCTTGTGCCTGCAGACACAGGAGCATGTCACCTCCAGCAGCACTGGTGGATGCTCAGCACAGGATTCCCAGGGGATCTCCAACCTCTTGCTGCCTGATTCTTGCTGCCACCAAAGGCAGGGGCTGGGGGCTCAGGGTGCCACCCCCGAGGCTGGCCCTGCTGCCAGCCATCCGTGGCCAAGCAGTGCCACCCTGTGGCAAACGCCCTCCTCACCTCTGAAGGGGGTGATGCCCTTGGACCCCCACCCACCCCAGACCTCCTGGTCCATGACACTGGCTGCCCTTGCTGATGACACCCCCAGCCTTGGTCCCTTCTCCCCTGGTCCTGCTGATGCCCATGACACTGACACAGCACAAGACATCCCATCTCATCCCAGTGCTGCCACTAGAAGCTTTTTCCTGTCCCTGTTGTCCTGCCCAAATGTTTCCAGGGCTCCAGCAACAGCAACTGGAAGTGGGTTCCTCCAGCCCTGTCCCCAGGGACCGCCCTGGGGTGCAGACAGCAGGGGAGGGGGCACTCCCAGCCCCCAGCAGCCCTCTGCCGCAGGGCTGGTTCCCTGGCACCCCGCATTAATTCCCAGACTAGTAATGAGGTTTGTTATTAAATAACGAGGCGTGGACACGTCATTATCAGGTCACTGTTTCTTATGAACCAGGATTTCCATTCCATGTGGTGTCTCAAGTATTTTTCCCCAGGTCATTTCCCAGTGCTCCGTGCAGAGGTCAGTGTCATTGCACCCCAGGTATGGGTGGGGAAACTGAGGCACAGAGTGCAGTAACACAGTCACAAGGAGAAGCCAGGAAGTTGGCATCCCAGCCAGGGGACAATGTCCTGGTTGCAACTCCAGAGGAATGGGTGGGATGCCATCAGCTCCTCTGCCCCAGACTGCTCACCCCTTTCCAGCCCCAAATGGTTCTTATTTGTTCCCCTGAAATGTTCTGGCTGATCCCAGAGCTGCCTCGGTGGCACTGCTGGACTTGTTCATCCTACCAGATGCTCAGCCATGCAGTAGGAACCTCTCTTTGGGAGCATGGGAACCATATGCCAGCCTTCCACCCTGGTGTCACCTCCCATGGATGATGGTGAGGGACCTCCTGCTCCCAGACACGTTGGGGTGACACATTGGGGCACCAGTGAATGTGTCACAGCCCTCAGGACACATTCTTGAATGATGGGGCCAAGAGCAGCACCCACAGGGTGAGGGGACGGGTCAGGAGGACAAAGGTGGCAACGAGGATGCAGACACTGTGCTGGGGTGCACAGCTGGGGAAAAACATGATGGGGGCCCAGCACCAGCTGGCAGCTCTGGCATGGGGGTGACCAGCAGCCCCCACTTCCCCCTCCCCTGAGAGCAGGCACAGAGGGTTCCAGATCTCAAATCTGCATCTCAGATGTCCACTCCCCTCCGAAACCAGGACCCCTGGGTTCAGGGGCTGAAAGTCTCCCGGGTGAGGCCAATCCCAAGGAGGGCAAAGCCAGGAGACATGTGGGGCTGAATGGTGTCTAACCTGTTTGGCATGGGATGAAAATGAGCCACCAGGTGGTAACCCTCAGGAGCTGGATATAGGGATGAGGAAACATCACTCTGCCAAGGCACAGGTTTCCAGCAAGGAGAGCAGGGTGGGATCCCAAATCTGCTCCTTTATACAGTCCAGAGCTTTGGTTTAGCTCCTTGACCCACACCCTGCTCCCTGTCCTTGGATCCCCAGGGCAGGAGGGATGGTCACAGTCCTGAGGAGCTCAGAGAAAGAGGTGAGGGAGCCCCAGGCTGAGACTGCCTGGCATCCCTTCCCACCCCACTGCTCCACAGGGAGGGGACCATTAGCTGATGGAGGGGGAGGTGAGCTCACAGGGGTTGGGATCACTCTCTCCATCCTCTGGTTTCACTGCCCTTGTTACCCAGTAGCTAAAGGCTCTGATTTATCTTCACATCTTTGGGATGCAAAGCCATGAGCTTCTGCTCCAGAGTGGCTGTGTCACATACCCCGAGCCTGGGAAGCCTGGGGCCTCCAAAAGCCCCACAACCTGGCAGCCTTGATCCTCCAATGCACAGAGCCCTTGGCTGTCCCTGGGCTCTGGGTACCTGGGTGCCATGGTCACAGGTCCCCAGGAGCTGGGATGGAGGGGAGGGACCAGCATGGCCCCCTCATACCCTGCACATGCTGTCACAGGGTGTGGGAGGAGCAACCACCCTCTCCACTGAGACACTGGAGGAACCCACCAGCAGGGTTTGACCTGCCATATTTTAACCAAAAGAGGCAGAAAATGCCAGTGGTGACACTGTGAGTCCCTGGAGATTTGCAGAGAGGTCTGAAAGTCCATTCAGTCCCTGGCCAGATGAGAAAGTTTCACCTGAAGCTGCTTCAGGGCTTTCTCCAAATGGTCTTTCAAGAGAAGTTCCAGCCCTAGATCTGTCCCAGCATCGGTGACACCCTTCTAGTATCCAAGCTGATCACATCCCCACTACGAGTCTCTCTTCACCAGCAGCAGCCAAGGGAGCACAGCCGCCAGCATGGCCACGGTCAAGATGAGGAGGACGGCGAGGGCGATGGGTGACTGGCAGCATTTCACCCCCAGGGCCGAGCTGGATGACACCGAGCTCCTCGTTTCCGCTCTGCTTCTCCTCCCCAGGGAGTCACAGTCTACATCCACCAGTGGCATGCCATGGTCGCTGATGACAAAGATGTGGGCTTCCCGTGCCAGCTCTCCTGGGACCCTCTGTGAGTCCATGGGGCTGCTCCCGGTGCTGCAGCATCGATCAAAGCTCTGTATCGGCATCACAAAATGGCTGGGGGGGCCCCAGGGGCGGCGGGGGTTGCTGGCCTCCATTTTGGTCAGCTGGGACAAGGAGGAAGGTGACAGAGGTATCTCCAGTGTCCAGGGGTTGGTGGCTGCGTTGGATGGCCATAGAGCCTTCTTCTTGCTGAGGAAAGTCACGTAGCGACAGACGGGGCAGATGATGCTGCTCTGGACCTGGCCGTTGAGCTTGGTGGAGAGCAGGCACTTCACCAGGCAGTCATGGCAGAAGGTGTGCCCGCAGCTGAGCTTACGGTGTGTGGCCTCCAGTGGGTGGAACTTCTCATAGCACACGGGACACTCAGCTGGGGGACTCTCCTTGTTGGATGAGGTCTCAGACATCCCTGCTCTGTGGGCCACAGGGGCTCCCCAGCTGTGAGGAAGAGACACAGTGGGTTAATAAGGGTCTCAGTAGCAACCATTAGCATGATCCATCTCTTCATCTCTTCTCCTCCTCCCCGCTATCTTGCCTTCACCCTCTTGCCCCCAACAGATGAGGTAGATGGTTACTAGGCATGGTCTTAACAAGGGCTTTTTCAGGAGCATCAAGCCATTAAGCCTCTCAGTGTGGCCCCTGGGGCAAGAGAGAGATGATAGGAGGACCTCAGCTCCAGAATCACCAAGGGCAAGAATCTCTGACTGCAAAATCACACAGAAAAAGGCATGAGCCCCTGGATGGGGCTGTGTGTCCCTGCTCAGCACCTGGGACAGATAGAGCAGATTCAGTCTGTGTCACGAGTGCCTCTGCTGCCAGCTTCAGGTTCCTGGGTGGGTGGTGGGAACTTCCATCCCACAAAGAAACCTGACAAGGAAAAGGAGATGCTACCATCCCAAGGGACACAGAGGGGCCAGGAGGAGCAGGAGGAGCCCAGGTCAGTAGGGCAGGCAGGAGCAGAGGACCCCATGGGGATGGAGAAGGAGTGGTCATCCCCAGGAGAGGCAGCGAGCACCCAATGCCAGGCTCCTTACAGGTGGCTGAAGGATGTCCCAGGCTGGTGGCCAGGCCACCACCATCTGCAGGTCATGTTCCTCACTCATGCTGGAGCACGGTATGGGCAGCAAGCCTCAGAGAC